CAATCGGCATCATAAAATTATACTGAGCTAAATAATTATCCAGATTTTCCAAAATGCAACCCGATTGACAAGTCAGCGCTCCTGTAATTAAAAATTTTATGAATGTGAAAAGGTTGAAAACATTTGAGGATTCGAAAAATTCGATGAGTTGTATTACCGGAAAATTCATCGAAATTGATTATTTTATTCATCAAAACGGTCGATATGATAATTTCGTCGAAAACAGGTACGCTTCCCGAAACCAAACCTGAATTTCCACCCTGTGGACAAACTCCTAATTGATTTTCATTACAGTATTTGAGTATCGATGAAATTTCTTCTGTCGATTTGGGTTTTAAAACGATTTCGCTGTTTCCTGTCGATGTATCATATTATTAATGATTTTTTTATATTTCTAAAATTTTTTTTTTTGTTGTTGTTGTGGCAAACCTTTTATGTGCCTTGCAAAATCTATATTGTAAGGTTCGACGTCTGTCAAATCGGAAATGACTCTGTCTTTACCCAGAACGCTAACGAAATATTCAACATCTCTCGATGATAATTTATTAAAACATTTTCTTTTTATTTCCGGAAATCTAATTTTCGCTTCTTCCGGTGACGTGCTAAAAAATGATTTTTTCAAAACAAATTTTTGATTTTTCACCAAATTCAAAATTTTTAAACGAAATTTCATCATCATTATTATTATTATTAATTTATATATTTTATTTCAAAAGGCAAGACCTGAAAATACAAAAAAAAAAAAATTTGTTTAGTAAAACTTTCCATAAATAAAATATACACGCGTAATATAAAATTTTGGCGGGAAAATAAGTAAATAAACAAAGGATTACCGCGAGATTAAAAAACAAAGGAATTAAAATGTAAAAACTTAAATTTTAAGTTGGTAGCAATGAAAAACATTTTACGTAACAGATTTCTGACGACTTTAATGGCTGACAGAAAAAAACAAATTGTTACCTTACTAATAATATAAATTAATAATGATTTTTTATTTTTCGGGTGGGTAATAGTTTCGTTTGTGTTTTTTTTTATTAATTAATAAATAACTTACCCGAAAATTAAATAAATAAATAAATTAATTAATTAAACTTAAAAAAAACGTCAGTTAATCTTTGGAAACAAAAACATTTTGACATTCGTTCTGGAATTTTCGAAATCGTAAACTTGTTTATCACGACGTAATACTTTAGTCGTTGAATTATTGAATAAATTAATTAGCGTTTAACAAATTTTCACGGACATAATTTGAGATTTTAAATTTAAATATTTTATTAGTAATTTTGAATTTATGCTTGTACTCGTAAAGACAATAATTACAAAATATTGAATAAGTCGGAATTCGATGTAAACAATATGGTGGTAACAATTGAGATAAATCTTAATAAACGCGAGAAAATTGTTATTAATTTCTATATTTGTTAATTTTTTAGGTACTCACATGAATTTAAACGTGAATGGCAGTTAATCACATCCAAAATCTTTATTAATACAACTATAAGATGTTGAAAATGTTCATTAATAGTAATTCGTCATCTGTTTGTTTTTTAATCCGTGACGTTGTCATCCGTTTCGAAAGTTTATTATTATTATTATTATTATTATTATTATTATTTTATTATCACAAATTGATGAAATAGATTGTTTGAATCATAAATTTCAAATCTACAAACAAACATTTTAATCTCAATGTTTCATTTTGGTTTTGTTTCGACAAACACATAACCTCACGCATTTATCGAAAGAAAGCATTTTCAACATTAGTACAATTGTGGTCTTACTTATAAATATGAGTTGTATACTTTACGAGATTGATAATGGAGTGTTGTACTGAGCTTTGAGTTATTGTTTCGAATGTCATTAAATTATTTTGAGAAATTTGTAAAATTGTGTCTTCTGCTTTTACTTTTGTAATGATATCGAAAAAAGCTTCTCGTGTGATTAACTGTATCCTGTATGATACCTTACACATTAATAAATTTATTTGTTAAGTTTATTATTGTAAACTATTAATGTAAAATTGTATTTATTTATTCTTTATTTCACTAACCACAAATAAACAAAACTATTTTTTCTTCTAAATTAACATTATCATTATTGTTAATTATAATGAGTCTTTGCCTCATAATTCTCATTAGGAAGTAATTAAATTTTTAATTTTTATTAAAGTAAACATAATTTAACACTGAAATGCATGTTTTGTAAACATTAATTACAATAAAACCTTTTGTGTTCAATTAATACAACTACTTTTAAGTAAATAATTTTCTTTTTGAAATTGATTTCTCGATAATATTTTTCAAATTATAATCAAAATCATAGCATAGAATATTTAAACGATAAAGAAAAATATGTTTATAAGTAAATAAAAATTTGAATGATGCAACCATACCTTTAGAAATGAACAAACTTAATTTGTTGAAATCGAACTAATTTTTTTATAATTATTTATTAAGCATGGGTTTAACTTTTAGCATCACAATTAATTTTAGTTGTATAGTTTTCTTTAAGTAATAAGATTAATCATTTGTAAAAATGTTTCGAACCCTCAAGACTATTTTAAATAATAATAATAATCATAACTTAAAACAAAAATAAGCTTTTTGGGGAATTTAAGCTTATTTACTATATAAACTCTATAACTTTACTCTATGGTAAGCTTTAAATAAAAAAAAATGTTAGTTTTAACGTGATAATAACATTTCCAAACAATTTTTTAAATTGTAGTATTATTAATTACATGAATTTATCTTTTAAAAAAAAATTTATTTACTCTATGTTTTTTGAGACGAATCGAAAAAAATTAATTTAATTTAATATTCAGCAATTCAGTAATAAATTACATAATAATAATAATAAATTTTAAAAATTTATTTATTTAAATTCCTTTATAATTCGGACAAGAAAAATGAATAAAAAAAAAAAATTTTCGTCGAAATAGTTTTTTAACTTATGGAAAGAAAATTTTTTTTTTCCATTTCGTTTTTCCTCTTTAAAATAATAATAATAATAATAATAATAAAAACATCATTGATAACCATTTCCGGTAATTTTATCTCTATGAGTAAAATATAACGATTATCAATGATATTGATAATTTAAAAACAAAACAAAATTGCGAAAGAAAATTTAAAAAAATTATATATCAAAAGCGTTTTAATACATTTTGGAAATGAAAAGAAAATTGGGAATTTTGTCGCACGGTTGAAAACAATGTTTAACTTATGTAAAAATCAATCACGTTGATTTTTCCGTTGTTGTTTTTTTTTTTTTTTCGAATAAAAAAAAAATCCGGATTAAAATGGCTGGACCATATTTGAAATTTAATAATTTTTAATAGTTTTTATTTTTTTAAAATTTAAATTACAAATATTTACGAGTTTTTACCCATTAATAAACAAAAAAGGAATTTGATAACATTGATTGATGATATTTTTCGTATTGTAATCATCATCATCATCATCGTTCGTTCAATTATTTTTTATCATAATTTAAAACAAATGAAATTATCGTTATTATCATTTTATGCTATTAATAATAATTACGACGACGACGATTTTAAAATATTTTTTCATAAAAACGTGATTTCATATTTAAATAAAAATCGTAAACGTTTTAACGGAAAAAAAATAGTCATTTTATTATTATTATTATTATTGTTTACATTATTTACGTTATTTTATTACTCAAAATAAAAAATAAAATGTTCAATAATAATAATAATAATAATAATAATAATAATAATAATAATAATAATAAAACGTTTGAAATTTTTTGGAAACCGTTCAAATGTTATTATTATTATTATTATTATTATAATAAAAATGGTGATTATAACGTATTGATAATTCAACCGTTAAAAAAAATTATTTTTTTAAAAAAATATGACGTCGTCATATGCTAAACGTGTGCGGTACAGGGAAGAGAATATAAATGTAAAGAACGTGGAAGAAGACAATTGCGCAATGGTCGAGATCGGCGTCAAACGTACGTAAAAAAGAATTTTCATTTGTCTTTCAATTAACACGTTCTGGAATGACGGGGTCATATATTATAAGTTAAAAACTGATTTTCAATTGGAAGAAAAAAAAAAAAAAAAAATTTCCCTACGGGATTTTTAATTTTCCTACGGGAATTATTAATAATCAATTTTTTTATTTTATTTATAAAACTCCATTATTATTTTATATATTTTTACAATGGCACCCGTTTTTTTCCAATTTATTTAAAATTTAAAAGAAAACAAACAAACAAACAAGTTTTCTTTTTTTTATAATTAATTTTTTAGGTCGACATTTTAAATAAGGTACCCCAATAATAATAATGATGATTATTATTATAATCGATTCGATCGTTTGTAAATGGAATCAATTGATCAATCAATTCTAAATAAACGATCGTTCATTTTGTTTGTCTCTTTTTATTTATTTATGTATCGAATTCATTTATTAAATAATAGAATTTTGTCATATTTTAAAGTAGATTTTAATTAACGATCGAATAAAATTTAATTAAAGTAAAATAATAATGATAATAAATTCGAAACGAAATTCATTTTCTATTTTCCTTTTCCTGAAATTTTTTCATATTAATATGAGGGGGAGGGGAAGTTAAAAATAAACCCATTGATTATGTCAAAACGTATATAACGGCTTCTTATAATAATAATAATAATGATGATGATGATGATGATGATGTTAAATTTCCCAAAGGTTTTACATCAAAATGAAACGAGTATTTTTTTATTAACATTACATTTTCCACCATTTGGATTAGCAGCCATTTATGAAATGTATTTTATTGTACTGCCATTATTTCTTTTAATTAATCATCAATAAAATAATTTAAACAATTAATAAAAATGGTTTTTATTCATAATTTTTTCCTTTTTTTTTTTTTTTTTAGAGGATAATCATTCGATGAAAAGGAAAAAAAAGGAGAGAGAGAGAGAGAGAAAGAAAGAGAAAAAAAAGGGAAAAAAAATGACAGGGAGTCGAATCCAAATAGGAGACCGAAACAAACAATTTTACATTTACCCAAAATGCCTTGCGCGTATTGAAAACGTTAAAAATTTAAGAAGATTACTGTTACTCAAATGTAAGTCATGTTTTTATTCATTCATTTTACGTTAAAGAAGTGGGGACAAAAAGGAAATGGAAGAATTAAAAAAAAAAAAAATAATAATAATAATAATAATGCTTTCGGATTTTGTTAGAAAATGGGAAAAAAAAAAAAAAAATGTTTGGAGTTGTTGATTGCCGGGGATAGAATTTAATATGAAATGATTTATTTTTTCGTAAGGTAAACATAAACGAAATAATTTTTTAAAAAATCGTTTCATTTAACAAGAGTGTTTTTAATCAAATCCTGCGTTGTATCGCACGGTAACGTTTCCCCCCTTTTCATGTTGATGATGATGATGATGATGATAACCATTGTGTCGCGTCTTTTTCGTTTTCCCCCTCTCTTTAAAACTCGTGGACTATTCCTTTCGTCATTAATTATTTTAATAATGGCGATTTTAAAAATGTATTTAAATTAAAAACAAAATAATTACGTTTAATAAAAAAAATAGGTAAAATAAAATTGAGAAAAATAAATAAATCGAATGAAACAGGGAAATCCCCCGTTTGGGGAAATTTTTCTCAAAATGGAATTTATGATTCGAGTCGTTTATTTATTTGTGATCAGAATTCGATGGATAGTTCACAAACATGGTGGTGGTGGTGGTGGTGGTGGGAGGGGAGGGAGAAAAACATTAATTCATTTGTAATTCGATATCGAACAATCGTGAGACGGGAGAACATTTCGACGGAAATTTTTTTTTTGTAAAAAAAAAAAAAAAGAAACACAACGTAAAAAGAGAATAGGCGCTTTTGTGCTCCGCGACCCCAAGTTAGTTA